CGCCGGTATGAGCTATAGGGTCGACATCTGCACCAATTGGAAGTATAAGGACTTTGAGCTTCTCGTCTATTGATGTGTGAAATTAATTGTGTTTTTCATTTTTTATTTAATTTTATATCATTTTTTTATTCACAAATCATTGCATTAATAAGTGCTAAATAAAAGTAAATTATGGCCTAATAAGTGACTAATCACTAGATGTTGACTCTCGTGGGCGGAACCCAACCGCCGAACCGTCTTTCAAACTCTTCGGCCACAGCTATAGTCAAGTGATCGTTGAATGGTTTGGCGATCACTTGGACTCCGAGAGGCAGTCGATTGGAGTTGAGTCCTAACGGGACTTGAGTTATGGCCACTCGAAGACAGTTGAAGGCCATTGTGTAGCAAACGTTTCCGCTGTTAAATAGTGTGGCATTCAATTTGACACAACTGTCCGGATGTGTCGGGAATAGCAAAATGCCGTCATCTCCTAAATGACATGTTTTCGTGTTTATAAACATATACTTCAATACATTTTCTTTTCAACGCATACCTAATATTTCGTAGACCTCTCGTCGCAACTCTTCTCGGATTTTATTGTATTTCTGTAATACCTGTTCGGCGACCGGTTTTCCCGTGACGTACGCCACGTATAGGGCTTGAAATGTGTGGTCAGAGCCGCCATACAGTGATTTCAATATCTCGATGCGTGGATTGATGGCTCCGTTTCGGTTTGTGAGCTCTTCGGCCAAAGGAGTCACTCCTTTCACAGTCATAGCGAACTGCCAGATGAGGAACGAGTGCTTCAATTTGTCTAAATTAATCTCTTTAACGGTTGCGCCCAAACTCTTGAGATGTTGAACGCATTCATCGATACCTTTTCGGGTCTCAGCGCTGACAGGAGTGAGAAGTGGATCATTGATTGCATACATATAATGCACTTTAAGTCGACTTAAATCCACGCTTTCATCCAACTTTAGTTTTGACACATTATTGCCGACAAATGCTTTGAGCGTCGGTTTAATGTCAGTCGCGTAGCGAACCATTGGTCCAAATGATAATAGTTTAAACCTCTCCGCATGAGTTGGTGGCCAGTGATTGTCTGCTGGAATCAGTTCTGGAGTAGTGCAGTGACCGAATAGACCGCAGAAAAACGATGGCATTCGTATTGAGCCGCCGATATCTGACCCGATGCCCAGCAAAGAACCTGCGGCCGACACGAGCGCAGCGTTGCCACCACTACTTCCGCCTGAAGATTCAAACACAACATTAGTTATCAATAAATATTTGAGTTTATAAAATGCATTTCAAACCCGGAATAATGGACTTGTCGTACGGATTGTATGTCTGGCCAAAGATTTTATTGTCTGTATTCCACCAAAGCATTAATTCGGGTACATTTGTCATACAGACGGGTATTGCGCCCGCATTGCGAAGATTGCGCACCATTGCCGCGTCTTCTGTGGCCCGTATTGTCTTTCTGGCAGCGGTTCCCGCAGTGATTAACATGTTTTTGATACCAATGCAGTCTTTGCCGGAGAAGGGAATGCCGAGCAATGGCTGGGAATGAATGGACACTCCATTGAGTGGTTCATTGCCGTGGAGTTCATGTGCGACCCGTTTGTCCACTTCGATGGCATCGATGATCGCCTCGTCGTAGCGCTCGTCTATCACTGCGTTTATGTGCGGCTATTCAGCAATCAATTGATTATACTTTGCAATTAATATAAGACTATTCATACAATCCATTGATAGATAATGATTACCTGAACTTCTTTAATACGTTTAATATATGCTTTAATCACATCCTCGCTCTTCAGCTGCGATTAGATGTAAATATTTGATAACTAATGAGATTTGTGTGTAAATACCGGTCATATACTGTACTTTTCCCGTTTTGATCCGTTTGACTAAATTAGTCACCGATTCTAACAGTAGTCCATCAGTAATGGGCGGCAGATATCGTTGTGTCGATGGATATAATAAACCAATTAAATTGACAAATATATCAATGAATATACGAATTAATCGTTTGGTATAATAATTAAAGTCAACCATTATTTCTTATATGCCATAAACTCCAC